TGAGAGTGAGTGAGAGAGAGAGAGAGAGAGAGAGAGAGAGAGAGAGAGAGAGACAGAGTGGCCATTGACAATGAGAGTGTGTTTTTATTGCATGTGGGTATGTATGAGGCAATGGATGTAAAGATGATACAGAGCAAAACATGAAGGTTTTTGCATGTATGCACATTTATAGAGAACGAAAGAGAGATAGAAGAAAATTACTGTCGTCCAGTAACACAAGTTTTAATTACTGGGATTGTGAGCTTTAATCTGATCAGACATGCTGGACTAACCCTGGACACGCTGACAGGAGGAACACTCTAGAAACCATGGCAGGTGAGTTCACGCAACAGAAATATACTCAAAAATAAAAAAAAGATAATCTCTGTTTTACTGGTCTACTTAACATCAAAAATAATCACTAGCATAACAAACTGTTTTTTTCTTCAGGTTTTTGTCAGCTGAACCCCTTAGATGTAAAATATTTAAAGTCCTCTATGACATTTCAAGTTAATATTTTGATTTAGTGACACATTTGCATGTTCATGGTTCACTTGGTTGGTTAATGGTCACATGACATTTAAAATACTGTAAACAGATAAGTTACATTTAAGGGTGTTTACACTTTTTACAAGAACCAACTAACACTACAAGTTACAATAAAAATATTTGTTCTAAACTCTTTAATTTCAAATATTCCATTTTTAACATCTTTGAGCTTTTATTTTGGCAGAATATTGGTGAAATGCTGTAAACTTCTGTCCACAAAAAAGCTGTCAACTATGCGAATGTGGATGTAAATAAAGTGAACATAGCACACATGATGTATCCAAAATGCACATTAAACTCACAGCGCTTTCACAGACAGAGTTGGTGAGAATCAGCATTTACTATGAACCAAACTGCTCTGAAAACAGGATATTATCAGCTGCATGTGTGTAAATGAAGTGCTGCTCGTCACTCTGAAACACAGTGCAACACAACACAAACTTTGATTAACAATCACGATATGATAAGACCTATATCTGTTTCACTTTTATTTTGATAAACGTGTGCAGCCTCATTTGTTTATTTTAATGTTACTTTCGATTTAAGAAATTACTAGCTTTTCATCAACTCACCAATTCATTATCAATTCACTAAAAACAACATTAGTTCAAATTTTCTACATGCATTATTTATTTATTTATTTGCATTTTTTTATTCAAATTAATTTGTTAAATATTTTTTTTATCAACTTCCATCAACCCCATACCCCAAATCTATCCTATAATTTAAAAAGGCAAACACATTTTATTTTACAAAAAAAAAAAATATATATATATATAATAATAATAAATAATACAATTTAGAAAAATGTTGCAACAAAATACATAATATATGAAATAAAAAAATATAAGCTAAAATATAGTAGAAAGTAGAAGTCAGACAGCACGTGCACTTTAGTAAATGTGAAAAGTAGTGTTATGACCCTCTTCTTTAATCAGCCATGGTATTTTTAGGGTGTTTTTTTTTTTTTAGGTGAAATTTAAGTAATTGTTATATATCAAATTGTACTAGAGAATCTGTGGATTAACATAATACTAGCTGTTATACGAAAGAATAGTTCTGAATCTGAATGTGTGTAATCTGACTGGAAAACATACAATTTGAAGGTAAAACATCACCTCATGTGTGTGTACACACACACACACACACACACACACACAAAAACACACAAATATTCAATATGGCCCTGTTCTCAAGTCTGACGTTTGTGTCCTTAATTTAGCAGCCCTTCAGGTCAGTGAACAAATTCACATCAAACACTGCACAAATGTTATTTCTGTATAAGAAGGGAAGAAAAATAATGATAAAAATAATAAAAAAAATGCTTGCTGGTTCTCATCAAACAGTGAGATTTTACGACTAGGGTTGGAGCTTTAAAAACATTCTATTTTAGTAAAATCCACAAGGGTGAATATTACATTAATATTATGTAATATTAATATTATGTGCCCATAATAAAGTACTTAGCTTCAAGTTGCTCTAGAGTAGGGATGTAACGATTACCGGTTTGACGATAAATCATGATAAAATTCCTGACAGTTAGTATTACTGTTTCATCTTTTAATTATCAATAAAACCATATTAGATTACCGTGATTTGAACAACTCACGATAAATAAATACTGTCCAGCATAAAGCAGTTTTAAGTAATGCAGCATGCAGAGTAGTTTCATTTTGAGTGAAAACAGGGCGTAAAGCTGGGAGGTTTTAAAAGAGTGCTAAGGGAATTTTACAAATGAATATATGAATTAATTAATTATATGAATGTACCTCTGAAGGTTCTGACTGTCTTCAGAAACAATTCGATGGCATTTTGTTTTCATCTTCGCTCCATGTAATACCTAATAAAGTAGTGTTTTTAATCGCAGTGCTGCTTTGTCCACGGAGGTTACGGGAAACAGCTTTTCCATAAGCGCCACCTGCTGTCAGCGAGTGGATTTACAGAGACCTATATTTACATTCAGCCTGTGTGCAGTTTCTGTCTGGCCAAAAACGGACCGAATTTGCATGCCCTGCTGTAAACTTTGACCGGTTGATGAAAAACAAGCTTATGTGGATTCTACACATTTAAACAATTCAGATAAGTTATCTAGAATTATTTATGGAGCAGATAAAATACATATATTCATGTATTAATCAATTATCATTTTGACATATTTTTTCTTTATTTAAAGGCTGAAATATGAGGTTTACCTTTTTATGAAACTTTTTCAAAGCTTTATTTGAACATTTACATTAGATACTACTGTTACATCCCTACTCTAGAGTGATTGGCATTGTAGTAAGTGTCCAGTAAATCACTTTGTAAATGCAACACCTAAAAGCCAGATATTTATTTTACAGTCCAATCATTTTCCCACACTGAATCCATTTGACCTCTCCATAACCCTTCGACACTAAATATATGTGACCCTGGAGCACAAAACCAGTCTTAAGTTGCACGGGTATATTTGTAGCAATAGCCAAAAATACATGGTATGGGTTTTCAAAAACAGCCATTTTTTAAATTCCATCACTGAAAACTGATGTAGAAAGGAGAAAGATGCAAAAGAAGGCAACTGGGTGGCTCAAGCCTGATTTTCAAATAGTTGTATCTCGGCCAAATAGTGTCTGATCCTAATAAACCATACATCAATGGAAAGCTTATTTATTATTTCGAAAAATTGACACTTAAGACTGGTTTTGTGGTCCAGGGTCACATATAGTGTTTACAGGTATATTTTATTTTTAATAAAATGACTATATATATATATATATATATATATATATCATGTAAATATAATTTAGTTGTTATGTAAATTCGTCCCATGGCATAATTTCTTAATTGAGTGTGTGTCCTTAATATTTAAATTCTAATTCTGCAAGACCAAATCAGAGTGGTGTTTTGTTCTTGAATGGTTTAATGTGTATGAAGAATTGGTCGATGATTCAGTGACACATTCATAAAGACATTAGCTGCAATTCCATTACCCTTTAAATTGCGCAAACTGAAATTACAAATTGAAAATATGCCCAATTTAAACCCATCAATTTTGCAAAAACTCCCATATAGCACAGGTTTTTTTTTGTTGTTGTTTTTTTAGCATTTACAGGTCACACGGCACATGTAAAAGTCACATGATCATTATTTTGATGTACTTTTACCACCAAGAAACACCTTATATGTGGCCCCTCTTAAGTATAAAGGGCTTTCCTTGCCATTAATGTTTGTATAACCGCTTATTTACACTGCACATATCTACGGTGCATAACGGCTCTGACACAGCCACCGGAGCTGATCGCGGCCACTCTAGTCAATGCTTGGTGTTTATACAAGAAGCATCCCAGAAGAGGCTCTCCATCTCCTACATCTCCTTCAATGAAAAATAATGGCTAGTGCGGTGACTGTGATATATGTAAATCTAACAACATACAACATCGCCCCGACTTATGGCAAGAGGAAAAAATTACATTTTTAGTTGCATAACATCGGTTAATGGAAACACCGTCATAGGTTTTTTTTTTTTTTTTTTTTTTTTTTTATTTTATAAAATGAATAAAAAAAATATTATTATATTATGTTAATTATATAATAATATATAATATTGTGCTTTATATAATAATAATATAATATAACAAAATTTCTTCCCTATCTTCCCATGATACCATTTACTTTACTTTACTTTACTTTACTTTACTTTACTTTAATTTACTTTACTTTTATCTTATTTTTTTTATTTTATTTTTTTCACGCCCCTTCATTTAAGAAAAAAATATATTTTGGCATATCTTCTTTATGAATCTGTTTAGTCTTCTATTTAGTCTTGCTGATCCATTCTTTTGTTGAGCGATGTTGCCACTGTTTTGCATGCAGTATATTTTCTCTAAACAGTGAAAGTCGTTACTGACTGTAATTTAATCAAGTTGTTCTGTGTTACTATGCACAGTTGGTGCTTGAGAGCCCTCATTCTTGTTTTATGTCTAAAATGTCGCAAAAGATTTGCGCAAATCTGTAATGGAAACACAGCTAGCAACTTGCTTTGTCCATGAAGGAATTGGCCAGTTTAAACCCCAATTAAAACTTGTCGCCACCACTGGCAGTTTCATAAATATAATTATAATAATGCAAAATTATAATTTAAATTCTTCCAACATTTCTATGTTTCAAATTTTCTATTGATATTAAAACATTAACCTTATTACAATTGTAATTCCAGCATAAATGCATTCACTTCACCTCATTCCAACAGTCTGTGCCTTATACATCTAAATGCCACGTCAGATGAAGCGTCTGTGTCACCCCTGTAGTGCAAAGTAATTAAAAGATACACATGCCCCCCAAAATGTCTGCGTAAGGCCTTGGCCAAAAATAAATAAATAAATAAACATTAAAAAAATTGTTTTCCTCAAGGCTCTCGGAATAATAGGCCAATGGCCACCCAACAACACATTATTTGAAAACATCCAATCACATCCAATGGAGCAATCTCCATAATAAATAGCTAGTTGGACCAGTGCTAATTGTGTGTGGGATCTAGGAAAAAGCAGAGTCAAACTGGGAAATGTGCTGGTTGAAATGGAACCACCCTGCAAATAAAGGGGAACTACCCCTTCTGACAAGTTATGACCAGCTGCTGTAGCCATAACATAGACTTTGAGCCTAGATATAGATAGATCTGTTTTCAAACACTCTTAATGAAAGTGCAGGAAATGCCCTGGAAAGCAAACCAGGTTCTTCTTCTGAGAAGAACATCTCATGGTGCAAAAAAACACCATCTAAGACTGTAAAACCACCAGGTTCTGCGCATG